CAGCCCTGGGCTGTTTTTCCCTTTCCTCTGCACAGCCTCCCCTCCCAGGCTCAAGGAGGGCACGGGTGAAGTGGAACAGGGAGTGGGGCTGTTTGGCCTGAGCCTGTCCTGGTGGGAGTTTGAGCCCAGCTCTGGGTTGCTGTTCTGGRTGGGGAGGTGATGGATTTGGCTCTGTAGGAGGTGGCTGTGCTGGTTGTGAGGTTCCCACTGAGGTTTCCTCTTTCTTGGGGTTTTCTGCAGRATCTGCCTGGTCCCTCATGCCTCGAGTGGAGCAAAGGGATGGAATTTGCATTTGTTTTTGAGCTGCAGCAAATCCAGCAAAGCAGATGATTGTTCCAGCTGTACTTTTGGGTTCAGTTTAACTTTTTTTCTCTCTTCTCTCCCCTTTTCCCCTGCAGCATCCGGCAGTACGAGCTGGTGGTGCACACAGACGTGAACATGAACAAAGTGTACACGGGGGAGATGGGCCGACTCAAGAGCTACGAGAACCAGAAGCCGTGAGTGCCAAATCCCCTGGGCAGGGTACACGGGGCAGGTCCTGGCTGATGGTCATTCCTGCAGCACAGCAGGTCTCTGCCCAGGAGAAATGGGCTTAGATCTCCACTGAGGCTCTGAGATTCCCCAATTAATGAACCATTCGTGGTGAGGAGATGGCCATGGCTGTGGTYACCTGTGCTGTTGGGCTGGTGCATCCACAGCACCTGTCCTGAGCCTTTCCTTGCCTGGGGTGGCCAGTGCAGGGTGGCTCCTGGCAGTGTAGCTGGAGGCAGATGAGCTTTAAAAATTAATTCCASCCTGAAATACTGCTTGGAGATGTGACAGTCGCTCCAATCCACTTCTGTGTCACGTGGCCTTAATGGGACAGAARCTGTTGACTGCTGGGCTGTGCTTAGAAGGAAAAGGATCTGTTTTCTGTGCCGTTGTGGGGAGCAGTAGGATCATGATCTGTTTTCTGTGCAAGTGTGGGGAGCAGCAGGATCATAATTTGGGTGGTGCTGKGGTGCAGTGTGCTTTGGAACAAAACCAAATCACAGAGCCTGCTCTGGAGGCAGAGGGAAGGTACCTGGATATGTGGAACTCCATGAGCCTGCAGGAGAGTAAACAGAGGGCCTTTTTTCTCTTTCCTTGCAGCCCCTTTGATGCCAAGAACCCCTTCCTGGCTCAGGTCACGGAGAACCGCAAGCTGAACGAGGGTGGAGAGCGACACTTGATGCACCTGGAGCTGGATATCTCCAATTCCAAAATCAGGTAATTCCCTGGGGGAAGCTGCTCCTGTGTTTTGTCAGAAGAAAAGAACAAGGATGTGGCACTGGCCTCATCCAACACCTCAGAAGGGAACCTTGCTCCTTAACACCTCCCCTCTGGGCTTCTGTCCCATGTACCCCCTGTCAGAACTTGCTCCCAGCTCTTGCACTGCTTTGGGCCCATCCCATCCCACCCCACATCCCTGTCCCATCTGAGCAGTCCCAGTTACAAGAATTCTCTAGGAGTCACTCAATAAATGTGAGGGCAGATGAGCTGTGGGAGAGGGGAGAGCTGAAGATTGCTCTTGCCTGTGTTTGCCTGGCTTAGTTGTACCAGCACAGGGGAGAAAAAAGCCCTATTGCCAAAACCTTCCTACTGGTTTAAATTCCTTGAATCGTTAGGAAGTTGTGAATCCAGGTGTCATAACAGCTGCAGAGGTTTTGAGGAGCTTTGCTCTGTTCTGCCCTTGGTGGAACTCTGGCAATCTGCTGTTAACCTTGGAGGTCTTGTAAAAACSGAGATTCTTGAAACCATTATCCCACAATGTCACTGCCAGTGTCACTGCTGGCTCTGTGGATCCCTGATGGTGCAGGTGCTTGTGCAGCAGCTCAGATCTCAGTGTTTTGCTGCTGCCTCTTGCACCCTCTCTTTTCCGGGCTGAGCTGCTGCTCAGGAGGAGGTGCAGGTGTTGCACGTGCTCTGCTCTCTGCCAGGTACGAGTCCGGGGACCACGTGGCCGTGTACCCAGCCAACGACTCCTCCCTGGTGAACCAGATTGGTGAGATCCTGGGCACGGATCTGGACACTGTCATGTCCCTAAACAACTTGGATGGTGAGTATGAATGATCCCTGAGGGCCAGCAGGTCTCCTCCAGCTGTGCCCTCTGTCCTTCACCCTCAGGTCCTGTCTCCTCCAGGCTGACAGATGTCCCACAGCCACTCACTCTTAGTGCTGTGCTGTTACAGCAGGGACTCGGAGCCTGCTTGCTGAGAGCAGCTGAAGTGGGTCAGTTGTGAAATGTGCTTAGTGAGCCCATTCAACAACAAATTATGTAACAGCACACTCCTAATTATGGAGCATCAGCCCACCAGAGCATCCCTCAGCAGCCCTGGAGCTCCACAGGGGCCCCAAATGTGTGAGATCTTATTCAGTCCTGGGAGGAGGCACAGGCTTGGGGACTGAACTGCCAGGAGGGARCACTTGAGCTGATCCAAAGAGCTCTTCCTGAGCAGCCTCGGGTATGAGGGAGATGGCAGCTGCTGCCCACTGCACTCCTGGAGCAGCACAGCCAGYCCTGAGGCATCAGATGTGCTGCCCAGAAGCCTGAGAGAGCTCCTGTTTCTAGAGAGGAAGTGGATTTAAAGCASYGCTGGAGCCTGTGGGCCCCTGTGCRGTGTCCTGTGCTGTCATTCCTGCCCCGTATGGACCTCTCAAGGCTGAGCAGAACAGCTCCAGGCTTGACTGCTGGCACAGCTGTGCATGGCTGACAGAGCCAAAGACACTTCTGAGGCCAGATCTGATGGAGGTGTGAGTGCCTGAGGCCAAATTAGCCATGGAGGGCAGCCCTCCTGCATGGCCTGGGGTTTGCTGGACTTTGTGCATGGACATCTCGGGGCAGGGAGTCCTCTTGGGCAACTCAGGGTGTGTTTTGTGCTGCCAAACTGTCAGGCAGCTTCTGTGAAACACAGAATGGACTACAGGGAGATGGAACTGCGTGGGGTGGGAGGTGGAGCTGGGGCTGCTCTCTCCTCTCTGAAGCCCTCTGCTCTGTCTCCTGCCCTCACCGTGTGTCGCAGCTGGCATGAAACCTCTTCATGTTTCCATTATGAGGTGGATGATTTTTCATTTTTCTTTCTGTCCCACTTCTCCAGAGGAATCCAACAAGAAGCACCCCTTCCCCTGCCCCACATCCTACCGGACAGCSCTGACCTATTACCTGGACATCACCAACCCTCCCCGCACCAACGTCCTGTACGAGCTGGCCCAGTACGCCACGGACACCGGCGAGCAGGAGCGCCTCCGCAAAATGGCCTCATCTGCCGCCGAGGGCAAGGTGGGAGCTGAGCTGGGCTGAGCTGGGGGATCCCCAAAGGGCACCCAGAGAGCTGAGGGGGTGTTTCCAGCCGTGTGGTTGGGGTGGCTCTCACGCCTGTGCCCTCTGTGCCCGCAGGCGCTGTACCTGAGCTGGGTGGTGGAGGCTCGCAGGAACATCCTGGCCATCCTGCAGGACATGCCCTCCCTGCGGCCCCCCATCGACCACCTGTGCGAGCTGCTGCCCCGCCTGCAGGCCCGCTACTACTCCATCGCCTCCTCCTCCAAGGTGGGTGTGCTTCCAGCAGGGAATGGGGCTGTGGAGGGGCTGCTTCAGCTGGGGGCTGGGCATGGGGGACTCCTCCTGGAGCTGTGAGAGGGGCAGATTGAGTTATCCCAGCTCCCACAGGCTCTGGAGAATCCCACACTGCAGCCAGTGGGATACCCCACACTGATAACACCACACTGTTCCTCTTTGCCCATTTGCCTGGCACGGTGACGTTTTAGGGGCTGGTTAAAATTTGCTCTTTGTTCCTGAAGCCCTGAGGTTGTTGGCAGCCTCCAGGGAAGCTCAGTGGTCCTGCCATGAGTTGAGGACAGGACAGAAGCCCCACGAGGGGCAYGCAGGGAGGAATATCCCAATGTTAACATGAGATTAAACTTCTCCCCATCCCTGAGCACAAGGGACTGAGCTGTGGGGTCACCAGGGTGCCTCTCTGCCCGGTGCCAACGCCCCTTCCCCRCAGGTTCACCCCAATGCCATCCACATCTGTGCCGTGACGGTGGAGTACGAGACCAAGACKGGCCGCCTGAACAAAGGGGTGGCCACCAGCTGGCTCAAGGGCAAGGTGCCTGACCAGAACGGGAGCAGCTCCCTGGTGCCCATGTACGTCCGCAAGTCGCAGTTCCGGCTGCCCTTCAAGCCCAGCACGCCCGTGATCATGATCGGGCCGGGCACTGGCGTCGCCCCATTCATGGGCTTCATCCAGGAGCGTGCCTGGCTGAAGCAGCAAGGTGAGTGCCCAGGAGCTCCCCTGGGGTTGGAGCTGGGCTCTGTGGGGCCAGGGGGTGCCTCCAGGGTGCAGCTTTGAGCTCCTGTTGCTGGTGGGCCCAACCAGAAGCAGCGTGATGGGGCAGGGTGAACAGTAACTGGGTGGTTGTGCCCACACAAGGGTGCTTTGTCCTTCTCACAGCCACGGAGGATGTTTGGGGGCGGACAGATCAGGAAGTTCCCTGACCTCTGCCACCACCACGTCTCCAAAAAATTACAGCCAAGTCACTCAGACCCATTTCTAAAACTTGTGGTGCTTCTGGGAACTGGTCCTGAGCTTCCCCTTATAACCTGAAGCCATCATGCAGCCCTGCGAGCCCAGGGGAGGGGAGGCACAGCTCAGGGGGCTGCTGGGGGTGGCAGGACAAGGGGAGGGGACAGCGCTGGGGACTGGCAGGACCCAGCTGACAGGGGCTGTGYGACCCTGCAGGCAAAGAGGTGGGTGAGACGGTGCTTTACTACGGCTGCCGCCGCGAGCGCGAGGACTACCTGTACCGGGAGGAGCTGGCCCGCTTCCAGAAGGARGGAGTCCTCACCCAGCTCCACGTGGCCTTCTCCAGGGACCAGGCTGAGAAGGTACCACACCATTCCCCCTGGATGGTGTTCCTGCTGCCCACCATTGCTCCCATGGCAGGCAGGAGCACCCAGCACTGCCCATCTCCCAGAGTCAAGAGCTCAGCCTTGGCTCCCCTCCCTCTCTGCAGTGGTGTGGGGGCTCTGCTCCTCTCCTCTCTCCTCACTCCCACCTCATTTCCTGCCAGGTTTAYGTCCAGCACTTGCTGAAGAAGAACAAGGAGAACATCTGGAAGCTGCTTAACGAGGGCATGGCTCACATCTATGTGTGTGGGTAGGTCTGGGGCAGGATAGGGATTTGGAGACGAAGTTCTGTTCTCAGGGAAATGAGCGTGACTCAGTTTCCCCAGCTGTGCATTACAAGCTCTGGGAGGGTTCAGAGGAGGGCAGAGGGGTGGGGTGAGCAAACCCTCTGTCCGGGGTGGGAGGTGACAGATGGGGCTCTGTGGCTCTGTTGTGGCCTTGTCTCACCTGCCCTCCCCCTTGGCAGYGACGCCCGGAACATGGCCCGGGACGTGCAGAACACCTTCTACGAGATTGTGTCAGAGTTCGGCAACATGAGCCAGCCCCAGGCCGTGGACTATGTAAAGAAACTGATGACAAAGGGCCGCTACTCGCTGGATGTGTGGAGCTAAGAGCGGGGCTGGCAGGGCCGGGGAGAGGACAGGTCCCCTGGGCAGTGCCTGCTCAGCCGCTGCTGCGGGGGGTGACAGTGGCGTCCCCAGCCCACGCTACCCCGGTGTCGCTCCCAACCCTTCCCGGCCTCGGCAGCCCCTCGGGGCGGGCTGTGCTCCCAGGGGCTGGAAGGGCTTGAGAGGGGCAGGGGGGTAGCCCAGGCTGCTGCCCGGGAGCTGCAGTGCCACCCCAGSGTGCCCCCTGTGGCACCAGCGTTTRCCTTGAGGCTGGGGACATCAGGGACACAGCTGCTGTGGGGCAGACGGGACGGACACTGCCAGCGAGCTCTGGGGACCTTCCCCAMACACGAGGTGCTGCCTTATCCCCGGGGGCTGAGCCCCCCCTGGCCTGCAGGGACAGCACAGGGCTGGAGGGGCTCTGCCTCCCTGCTGCCACCCCTGTTTGCCCATCTCTGGGATGTGGGGCTGGCTCTGGGCACMGAGCTGTCCCGTGGCCCCACCAGCATCCCCTCCATTCCTGCTGCCYGCCCTGGCTCCAGCAGCAGCGGGAAGGGGGTGGCTCCTCTCCCCTCGGGAATTCACCCGGTTTGGGAGGCGGGGTCTYAGCCCTTAGGGCCCTACTTGCTCCCCGGCCAGCCCCTCCCTCACGCCGCTTACGGTCGTTTTTTAAATACTGTTTTTATTTGAACATCTTTGTGATTTAAGCAAAAAAAAAAAAAAAAAAAGCCCGAACAAAAAAAACCCCAGACTTTCAGACTGTCCAATGATTGTAAATTATTTAAATACATTTGCCCTTGGAATAAAAATACTGTGTCTGGAGTTTGCTTCCTGCATTCTCTCTGCTCAGCCAGAGGGAAGAGGGAGGCAGGAGGAGCGGTGGATGGTAACTGGGAGGAAATTTGGGGGTGTGGTGAGAAATGTGTGGAAATTTTGGGGTGTAGCTCTGGGTTTAGGCTGAGCTGGGGGCAGCCCCTGCCCTCRGTGCTGGGCTCGGGGAGGGGAGGGATGGCACTGGGGGGCTCTGGACAGGGGTGCAGCTGTGCTCAACCTGCTCTTTGGTTCTTCCAGAGCTCCCAGTGCTGGTACCGCTGGTACAGGGAGGCTTTTCCCTCCCTGCAGGGACACTGAGGTCCTGCTGCACTCCCTTGCGTGGCCACAGCTCTGGCCACAACCTGTGCAGGCTGGGGTGCCACGGGAAGGAGCCCACAGAGCCCCACCCTGCACCCTAGGCTGGTGGATGGACACAGGGAGATGATTTTTCATAGAATCATGGAATCATTTAGGCTGGAAAACCTTTCCAAGTCAAAGCCTTAACCCAGCACTGCCACACCCACCGTTCAAGTGCCAAATCTTTATGGCTTTTAAAAAAAATCCCTGCAGGGATGGTGACTCCACAGTTCCCCTGGGCAGCCTCTGTCAGGGCTGGACAACCCTTTCTGTGAAGATATTTTCCTGAACATCCAACCTAAACCGCCCCTGGTGCACCTTAAGGCCGCTTCCTCTGGTCCTATTGTGACAATTGCCCTATTGACGCCCCACCTCCACCTTCCTTTTGGGGAGGTTTTGTCAGGACCCACTTCCTGATGAAGCAGAGCCACAGAGCAGAGTGTGGGAGCTATTCCCAGACTGTCCCGGTGCCCCGGGGCAGCTCCTTCCCTTTATTTTCACACGGGCACYCTCTGGGGACACCAGCCCAGGGTGCTGCTTGTTCCCACCCCTCCTCTGCCCCAGCTCCCCCTCCCCTGGGGATTGAAGGCGAGGGAGGAGCTGGAGCACACCTGGAACCCAGGGCTGTGCTCAGCCCCAGCTGCCTTTGGAGTGACCAGGCTGCCCCAGGGCCTTCATCCCACAGGGGCAGCCCTGGGTGCAGGGCTGGGGGGGATGGGGAGCCTCGAGCAGCCCCAGAGCTGTGGGAGGCCATCCCTGGACACTGCCTCRTCCCCGTGGGGTGGGGAGCAGCAGCCAGAGCATATCCCAGTACAAAGGGGAGCTGCTGTCCTGGGCATCCCGCTCTTTGGGTGGGGAAGGGGGCCAGGACAGGATGCAGGGTGCTCCTGACTCCAGGTGAGTGACCACAGCACGGGTCCAGCCCCGTGGGGAGCACATGGACTGTCCAGGAGCGGGCCCCAAGCTCCGTCCCACACCCTCCAGGGAATGGGATGAGACACCAGAGTCCGGACGGAATTGATGAGATGGGAATAGGGAATGGAGCCGGGGGGGATAAACAGTCCAGGCCCCCACATTGCCCCAATTCAATTCTCCTTCGTGTCCTTGTTCTTGTTCTGAATCTTCTGGTGGACCACGCGGAGGGTGGTGAAGAAGTTCCCCAGGAAGAGGATGAAGAAGGGGAGGCCGCACATGAGGACCTGTGGGAGGAGAGGCAGGGGTCAGCAGGAGGAGCCTGCCCKGGGGATCCCCCTGCCCCGGCATTCCCGGGAGCCTCCTCACCTGCCACTCCTTGCACTCGGGGTGCTGGAGCATGCGGAACAGGGTGATGGCGTTGTAGAGCTGCCAGAACTGCAAGAGAGAGGAGATTGAGGGCAGTCGCTGCTTTCAGAGATTCAGCCCCAGACTGACRCTAACCCAGCTGCTCCCTCTGAGTGCAAACCCCACACCGACCTCATGTGAGGGCACTGAAACCCCACCCACATTTAGGGCCAGAGGGCTCATCCCTGGAGGATCCCAGCTGGGATATTCCCCAGTTCGTGCCACAGGGCTGGGGAGAAGCCTTGGACCAGCCTTTGGCCATTGGCCTCGGGGATTTGACTGAGGAAGGACTCGATCCTTCATAGCAGCAGCTCAGAGCTGGAGCTCAGGAGGGCTTTGGATGGYTCTCACCAAAACCCCTCTGCACCTGAGCACTGGGCAGAACCACCTCAGCTCCTCCCCACGTCACCTCCCCAGCTCTGGAGGCGGTGGGTGCTCGGGAGGAAAAGGCTCAGCATTTGCTGGATGCATTTCCCTGCCCCTGGCATCCCATATCGGAGCTGCCTGTGGGGACTCTGATGTCCAGACCCTCAAGTACAGGCAGGAATGTTCTCACATGAGGCTCTGGGCTTGTACAAGGACTGCTGCACACTCACCTGCCCAAAGAAGAGGAAGGGAAGCAGGAAGGTGAGGCCTCTCCACATCCARGACTGGAAGCCCTCTGTAAAGGATGAAGGTTGGTGTGAGCACCCAAAATGGGAGCAGGGAGACGATGGAGCCCAGGGTGGGCAGGGAGGCTCAATGCCCACCCTGGGCCTGGCTGGGAAGGTCCTGCCATTCCAGCCTCCCTGAACTCGCACTGGGGACAGGGCAGGGGCTCCTAATCCAACAGGGGGCTCTGAGGCCCTCAGCTCCTGCCCTCAGTGTCACAGGGGCCGGGGGAGGTGACAGCCCACAGCGCCTGGGCTGTTAGGGGATGTTCATGTCTGAAGGAGCTTCCTGGGGAAAGCCTGGATGCCCAGAAGTCACATCACTGCCACCTCACATCCTGAGGGAACCAGCTAACGGCTGATGCTCCCAGGAGAGCAGGAGGAGGGGGACAGTCACCTGCTGCCCCCCAGGAGATAATCCTCAGAGTTCTGGTTTGATTTGTAGCTTTTACTGTTCCTGCCACCGATAAAAGTGACCTCAAAGCAAAGTGTCACTGCTAYCTGTAGCAGAACCCACAGCTCCCAGTGAGCTGAGCACTGGTCTGGAGCTGGGAGGAGACTGCTGGCAGCCTGGGGCAACCAGCAAGGGGACATCCCCCTATCCCACTCACCCACGGTCAGATCCATGTTGTGCCTCTCTCCCAGCGCTCGCAGCCGGTACAAGCAGCCGCTCTGGTAGTAGTACTGCAGGAACTGCACAAAGCCTGTGAGGAGAGCGTGGCTGCTGTCAGCAGCTGCTCAGGGATCACTTCCCAGCCTTGGCATCGTCCCACAAAGGCCACCCGAGGCCAMGGGAACAGCCAAACCAGCTGAGAGCCGTGAGCAGCTCCAGAGCTCTGCAGGCGCTCTCAGCACCTGCGGCTCAGCCCCTGCCCCAGCACTTACTCTGGTACATGGAGAAGGAGAGGAACTGGTTCCTGAACATCTGGTACATGAGCCCATCTGGCCTGTGGAGAGATGGTGCTGGCTGGGGCACGTGGGGCTGGGAGGGGACAGCCAGCCCTGCCTGTCCCACAGCCCCTGTGGCCCCTTGGCCRGGGCTGCCCASAGCCCAGGCAGCTCCCCAGGGGACAGGGGACACACGCTTACCATGTCAGCATGACACCTGAGAGGAAGGTGGAGATGTAGTGATGGAGAACCCACCAGCCTTTGATTCTGGAGGGCAGACACAGAGAAGGGGTGTCAGGTTTGGGGCGTGAATCCAGAGCCAAAGGCACCCCAGGAGAGGGGAACAGCCCAGCCACAGCCCCACCACAGCTCCTAGAGCTGGTTAGGAAATGGTCCTCGGAGCAGGACCGGGGACCTCGGGGCTGGGCAGCACCAYGGCCCTTCCAGCTCCACCTTCCTGCGCCGCCCCCACACGGGAGGTTCCTCCTGCCCTGCTCCCGCAGCTGTCAACACGCCCTGAGTAGGAGGGAGCTGCTCCCTGGGRCGGGTCCCAGCTMCCCCAGCCCCTGCCCRGCCCCTCCCCGAGCCCGGCACTCACTTGGAGCCGTTGTTGATCAGGATGCTCTCACGGATGGTGAGGGTGCAGTAGTACCACACCAGCAGGAAGTTAAAGACGGCGTCTGTCACCCTGGGTCACACAGAGCAGGCTGTGAAGGTGTGTGCTGGGGACACGGTGACACCCCCGAGGGCAGGGAGTCCCCTCCCCASCACCCATCGAGGCCACAGCAGCCACAAAGGCCACCCCACCTCCAGGACAGTGTCCAGATGCTTTATCAGGATCTCCTGTCCAGCTCTGGACCTTCCAGGGTGGGAGAGAAGGACAAGGGGAGGAGATCTCTGCTCAGCATCTGAGCCAGACTCACCTGGAGTTGAARAGGAACCGACAGGAGGAGGAGACAATGAGTAGGATGATGGTGAGGTAGAGCTTGAACTTCTCGTACTCATCTTTGTATGCAAACCTGCAGGAAACACAAGGACAGTCTTGGAGCAGTGACTGTTGGAAGTTTTGGGTCCTCCCATCCCACTTGGCTGGATCAAAGCGATGTTCTCTTGGGAAAAACCTCGCCTTGGGGGCATTTCTGAGAGCAGAGCACATCAGGCTGCTTCCACACAGCTGGAACAGTTTTGAGCATCACAAAACACCCCACCCCTGTGGGGAAGATGAGCAGACTGGGATCTGCACAGGTCTCCAAGGGGAGGACTGGGGAACAGAGGGAGAGGGGACACAGRCTCCAGGCTGGGCACCTCTGGCATCATGAGGGCTCTCATGGGCCCAAAGCAATTTTTGGTGTTTTTCCAAGGGAAGAAGAGGGGATTTTCCACTGCCTGTCTCTCTTGGAAGTCCCTGACACAGTGGGAACATCGACCTGGCTTCAGTGGAGGATCCTATTAACTTGTGGGAGCTAACGATCCATCCCAGCCCAGTGGCAGGAATGTAAGGAGAGCCAAGGATTTGGCTGATTCTTGGGAAATGATGCAGAAAACAGCTCGGGAAGGGAATCTCCACCAGGTGAGCCGAGCCAGCCCCACTGTTCCTGGTGCCAAGGGGATCCCAAGCCAGGAAAAGCAGAGGTGCAGCAAGGAGGGGCCGTACTTGGCCTGTTTGCTGAGCAGCGTCACGTTCACGTTGCCGAGCACCAGACTCAGGTACAACCTGCAGAGAGAGCAGAGTGTTAGGATGGGGACTGTCCCCTCTCTGCCACCAGTGGGGCCAGGGATGAGCCCCCAGCTGCCTCCACTCAGAGCTACCTGGCACAAATCCCCTCCCATGGGCAGAGGGATGGGTGGGGGAGCACACACCCCACCTCCCACAGGCMCCGGGGTGTTTGCCAGGCTTCCCCCTGTGCACAAACACTGTCCAAGGGTGGGTGAAGGCCATGAGCAGGCAGAGCAGTGAGGGGCACGAGAGCAGCACTGTTGGCTCCTGCCCAGGTGTCCTGGGGGAGCCCAAGCGGAGCAGCACAGCTGTGACACTGCCAGAAGCAGGGTGACAGGGGCTCTTCTGCCTCCAGGGATGAGGAGGGTGGCCCYGGTGTCCCACCCAGAGCTGAGGTGCCTCTCACCCGTTCTTCTTTGGCAGGTAGGCYTCCATCTCAAAGAAAACGTTCTGCCTCTCTTTAATCAGGCTCTGGGTCTCTTGGATGGACACGGTCTGCTCGGGAGTGGCCTCGGTTTTGCATCTGGGGAGGAAGAACAGGCACTGGCATCAGGAGAGCCTCTGCAACATGATCAGCACGTGCTGGCACTCCACAGGTGACYGACTCGGGCAAGGACACCCCAAGGACAGGGAAGGTGGATGGGAGGCAAGCCCACAACTCCATCAGCAGGGTGAGCTCCTCTGTCAGGCTGACATGTTGCTCAAGGAGGCAGGAATGGGAGCAAGGCGARGCCAGAAGGGTCTCTCACCCTCAGGATGGATGGCGAGAGCTTGGTGCAGGAGGGGGGCAGTTCGTGATACCTGCAAATCCCTTGCAAGCTCTGAACTGCAAACAGGGCAGAGGAAAGGAGGCTGGGGAAGATCAGCCTCCCCACAGCACACTTGAGACACGAGGTGAGTTTGACAGCCCYGTCCTTGCTGCTCTCCCCTCCTGTGCTGTCACAGAGCACTGACTCACCTTTTGAGGGCGAGCGACAGCTCCTTCAGCCGCTTCTTCTGCCGAGCAATGGAGCTGGAGATGCCATCCTGGAGCTTGGTCAGCTCCTCGAGTTTCTGCTTGTACAGCTTGTGGTTATCCTGGGAAGGAGAGACCAGCATGCATTAGAGCTGCCTGCCCMGACACCCCTGTCCTTGGGCACTCTRTGATGCTTCTGTTAAAACAGAAATCCTTCACTTCCCCTGTGCAGCTGGTGGGTGAGAGGAGGGGTGACCACAGAAGGCCAGGTGTGTYTGGGGACAGCCTGCAGCCAGCCCTGCTTCCATGGGGATGCCCATCCCCAATCCCAGGCAGGATGTTCCCATGTTTGGGACGCCAATGACTGCACATAGCAGATGGGAAATACTTGGGAATAAATGCTGTCTGGGCCAGGATACAACTGTGAGCTGGAACAGTGGCGCTGAGTGTTGGGGCAGRACTCATTGTCAGTCTCCAGGTCTCCCAACCCCTATCTGTGGCTTTGGGCTCTACCTAAGCACCCCTGGAAGCTGGAAGGAGCCTGTCAGTGAGCTGGACAARGAGGACAGAGTCCCAGCAGGGCTGSAGCCAAGAGCCCGGTAACCCAACCGCACCTGGATAAGGCTGGATGCATTTCTCCACTATATTTAGTAAGGAAAGGGGAGAGCTGCTGGATCAATGCTGCTGCTTGTCCAGGTCAGCTGGAAAACGGCCTCACCTCAGCACTTCCAGCAGGGAATTACACRCTGCTCACAGCAACCCTTGGACTAGACCTTGGCACACACAAGTTTTAACCTCTGTAGCTCTTATCGGCCACTTGATCACCAGATCTTAAAGTTGCTCCCAGAGGAGAAAGGTGAAACCGAGAGCAGAGGGAAAACTCCCTCTGGTGACAAGCAGGGTCAAGGAGGGAATGAATCCCAGAAAGTCCCAACTCCACAGCAGTGATTTATACCCCTGATTAATCCCAGGACATTCCCTGCTTGACCATCAAGCTTTCCTGCTGCCATCTACAGTCACCTCCTTCTGACTCTGGAGTTAACTCCGAGCAAGTGGCTTTTGTGACAAGTTCTTCAGCCGTGCCAGCATCTAAGCACCACGCTCGGTGACAGCCTGGATCAGGAGCCACCYCGGGAGGAGGTTTCCAAAGGGAAGGGCCGGCGCTGTGTGGCTGCACACAGGGTTCGAAATGGGAGACCCGGGACATCCACGCAACCCCTATGGAGCAAGAGGAGGTTTCTCAAAGCCTCCCTTGCCCCAGATCTGGGCACAGCAGCGACGTGTCCGCAACAACATCCGCTTCACCCCGCTGCCGGTGGGGGAAGGAGGGGGAAAGGGAACGGGTGCAGCTGCAGCCGAGTGACCTGAGCAGCAGCAGGAGATGGTTGGCCAACCTTTCCCTTGGGTGACCCCTGTGTGAGCTGAACCCTGCCCACTCCTTCCCCGGCAGGCAGCGCCCTGGGGATTACACAAAGCAGGTGGAAGCACCTCTGACACCAGTCACCTTCCTGGCACGGAGCCCCCGGCCAGCCCCGGCGGTGACAGGGTACGGAGAGGCAGGCAGTCGGGACAAGGCGCCTGGCCGAAGTGTGCCCGGGTTCCCGGAGCTCGGCTCGCCGGCCGGGTTCCCAGCGGGGTTGGCTGGCTCCGGGCTGTCCCAAGCTGGGCTCAGAGGAGCGATAAGGAGTGAGACGGCATCTGCGCACCTCGTCCGGCCATGCCACGCCAGGCAGTGCCGGTCCCCGCTCCCAGCCTTGGAAAACCGGGAGATCCGAGGTCTCCACGCCACGTCCACGGCGGGCTGGGGCATCRGAGTGGRGCACCCCGCTCTTACCGAGCACCGYGCCCCGGCACAGCCTGGCACCCCTGTCCTGCTCCGAAACGCTTTGCCCCGAGGCACAAGGCTCATAGCCGATGGCTGACACACCCACGGGAAAGCGCCTGGACTCCAGAGTGGCAAGCCTGGCTGTCCGCGGTACCCGCCGGGGATGCTGCGGGGCACCCGCGGGGCATCCCCCACCCCCGGCGCCGGTAACCCCGGCGTGCCCCGCTCGGCCGGGCGGTCCCTCGGCCCCTGCCCGGGAGTAGCCCGGGCCTGGTGGTACCTGGATGCGCTGGTAGCCGTCCTGCAGCTCCTCCCACTCGCGCAGACACTCGGCGACCGAGACGCCGCAGGCCATGGCGGCGATGGCGGCGGCGGCGACCGGCCCGGCCCGGCCCGCGGCGACGGGCGGCGCTGGGGCCACGCCCCCTTCCGGACACGCCCCGGGGCGGGGCCACCACAGGGGCGGGGCCTCCTGCATTCCGTGTTTCCCTCTAAATTAGAGCCTGGAAAATACGAAATTCTCACAAATCGCAGCATTTCGCTGGGCGCGCCGGGCTCGCTCTCAGCTCGGGCAGCTCCCGGGGTGCATTCACGGTCAAAGCCGGCCAACCCCAGCCGTGGCCGCGCCTGTCAGAATGACAAACCCAAACCCACGCGTAAATCCCGAACACACAGTGCTGCAAAGCCCGGGAGTGTCTTCTGTCACATTTTATTTTGTGATGTCAAAGRGTAGAATTCGGAGTGCTGTAAGAGAGAGGGCGGCACTGCGTTTGGGTTTCATGTGGCAGCACTGAGGCTTTAAAATTGCCAGCTGTGCTCAGAGGTTCGGCTGYAGAATTAGGAGGTGGCAAGTGGGAAGGGCGGTCTTGTCAACAATCCAGCCAGTGAGTCTGCGAGAAGCCACGATCATATTTGTGGCTAGCTGAGAAGGCACTCGCAGGGCACAGGGACTTCTGAAACAGGGACATTATGTTGTCACCTCTCCAGGCTGGAAGTAGGCACAGACTCCAAATTTACTATTCCAGACCATGGATAACAAATCTTTTCAGARATAACCCTACTGACTGCCCCATGGCAGTGGTTATAATCCCCTTTGCTTACAGAAGAGTTGAGCAGGGCCACATCCTGCAGGTACTTGAATTCCCCAAACTGCCACCTCCTACAGACAAGTGAATGAGTTCCCCACAAGGCTCCAAATCTTGACCGAAAAAGACGTGGAGTTAAAGAGGAAAGCTTTTCCATTACACACAGTGTTCCAGTGACTTTCTCCCCAGAAAGGGGAAGGGAAGTGGCTTTCCCTGTGGGATGTTCTCTGTCAGTAKTTTGGTTCAGAGGTGTCTGTGACTGTGGTCCCGTAGATTTGGGTCTCCCAAGCTGAAAGCTGTTCCACAAAGCCCCGGTTTGGTCTCATGTTCATTTTGCATTTCAGAAGGTACTTCCAAGCTCTCTGTAAAGTGGAGGAAAGCAATGAARTGTTAGGAATTGAACTGGAAGTGTCTCTCGAGTATTTTCATGAAGCAGCTACACTTGCAGTCAACACAGCTTTGTATTTGCTCCCTGGACAGCAAGAAACTGCTGAGAGGACTTTGGCTACCAAAGTGGAGACAGGCTGGATCCAAGTGTGGACTTTGAGAGAAGCCTGTCCCCTTCATGCTCTGCTCTCCAGGGTACAAGGAAAGCTCAGRCTGCTTTCACTACTTTGTTATTCTGCTCTGATGGAGCAATGCAATCCTGGATTTTCTACCCTACAACGCTGTTCCTKCCATGGATGATAAGCAAAGCAGTGAATTATCAGCTATAAAGATTATAAAGCAACAAAGGTTATCACGTTTTTAGATTGGCRTGACCTGATGTGGCAGAGCAGTTATGATCCCGCAGTTATCCCACTGCATTAATTACAGCCTTCTTAATTATTTGTTAGCTCCAWGTAATCACCTAGAAACTCTGACACACACAGGGCAGATCCACCAGCATTACTCCAGCTGCATCCCTGTTTTCCTGTCAGTGCTCATCTTCCTGCTTGTAAAGGAGCTTGCCCCCTGCACTTGGAGAATTGCTCAAGTGTAATGAGACCAAAGGTCAGCAGATAGTGCTCCATTGGTTTGTTTTTCTAATCTTGCTGATTGGGCAGGCTCTGAGGCTGATCTTCCAATATTTACTCCTTTGGGTCCACAGTGTGGGTGAATAGTTCAACTGGACTCAATAGATGTGCTCACAAATTGATTACTAATAGAATCAGGGGCTTCACATCCCAAATCTGCCTTGCTTTTGCCTTTTTGGAAGCTTTCAAAGATCTTTGCTTGGATTGGCTGGAGGATCACACGGGAATCTATTGCACTGCTTTTGTCTGCAAGAAACGAACTTGTCTGCCAGGGTAATCCCCCAGGAAAGCTTTACCCAGCCAACAGTGGGCAAGCACTGCCCTGTCAACCTTTTTTTTTTTTTTTTTTTTTGGCATTGAATAAAATGCTGAGACCAACCTGTCGATGCCAACTGAGAGGAATGGCAAGGCTCAGCCTTTGACTTTTGCACTGCCATTGCAAGCACATTCTGCGGTTCCGTGTGTGAGTGGCTGGTTATCAGCTGCAGGAGCAATCACAGCCCTGTTAGTGCAGGGATTGAACCGTGTCTGAGCTCTGCTGGCACCCTCAGCCTCTAATTACCCACTGGCACCCAGCCATGGAAAGAGCTTTCCTCTTACGTTGGACATGTTTGCACAAAATCGATCACCTTATCAGATACAGACCCAGCTTTAGTGAAGTTTGGATCAATCCTTTCAAGCTCCTGAACTKTCCAAACAAGGGTGTGATTTTTAAGGATATGCTGGTCAGTTCCCATGGGGACTCTCCTGCTCCCTGTTAGGAGGCACCAGGAGATGATGCCTGGGTTTTGTATGCAAAGGGAGAAAGGCCTGGCACGAGGGGAGGGTCCACCAGGCACTTGCACAGCCAGGCCATTCCCAGACATCCTTAATTCATTTTTTTCATTATTCAGAGTTATGGAACAGCTCTGTCCTGGTCATCTAACCCATACATCCCTCTGGTAGTAGGACCATCCCATTCCAGATTTCTACATAGGAGTGGCTGTGGGAAGGGATTTCTTCTGAAGGAATAAAATAGGATTTTGGAAGAAGTCATTGCTGAAGTCAACGGTAAATCAGAGCCCTGCAAACACTGGGTTGTGAATTTCCCTGTAACACCATGGAATTAAGAGGTAGGATTAACTGCAGTAGCTTCCACTCTTCTTCTCAAATCCAGGAGAGAAATGCCATGTTCTGTACCCACAGCTTTACTTTTATAGCCCTTCAGTTAAGTAGGGAATACAAAAATATCACAGGTTCTAGAGTAAGGACTCACAGATCCAAAATCACACCTAAGCCACCTCTTTAATGGTCTAAACAAGAAGCAATCCCAAATCATATAATCAGTTCCATTATCAGGTGGATATTCTATGAAATCACAGGGAATGTCTTATTACTGCAGTGATGGGGCTTCAGAAAGAGMAATGAAGTGCAGAGAGGGTTTCTGTGGGGACTGTGACAGTGACATACCTGCAGGGAAAAGCGGCAGGAATGCATCAGATAGGCCATGGTGACGGTGCTGCTCCGGCTTATCCCCAGGCTGGAGCACACCAGCACTGCTCCCACTTCCATCTGAGCATCTGAGTCAAGAAATGCCAATTATAAATTAGTGATCTGGGAAATGGAGCTTCCCGTGGCAGTCRAGCACTAATTTGGTGACAGCTGACAGGGGGGCTGCAGCCTGAGCGACAGGAGCCCTCAGGAACCCTGACAGCAGCAGATGAGCACTGCCAGCTCCCATTTCTGTAAGCATGTGCCTTTCTTAAAAATCTACAGCTAAAACATGGCCTTGAAGAGCAGCACCAACGATTATGACCAGTCAATTACACATCAGTGTCACCTTTACATTAGGGATCTGAGGAATAGTGATGATCCTTCATAACCCATCAGATGTGGTCAGCATCACAAACTGTCCCCAGATAGGTTTTGGTCCTTCATGACTCATTAGCTGTGGTCAGCATCACAAACTCTCTCCAGACAGGTTTGAAGATATTGAAATTTTATTTTGCCTGGAAGGTTGCATATTTAATTAATAACCTTTTAATTCTTTCTTTCCCACTCTAGACAGCATGATGCTTAGACCATTAGCACGATGCTTTTAGAACATTAGCAACTGAACTCTAGAATTCATAGGGCAAAGCCTCTTCTTTTACTGTTGTCAAGATGTTTTGTTGGTTCTTTTTTTTCAAGCACTAAACCAGCATGTTTTAAACTTATTTCTATTGTGACGTACTAGTTCTGTCATAAGACCTGAGTAGAACTGGCCTCACTCCAACATAAACCTGGCATGAGGACATTCACACTCCTCTTGGAGTATGTGGAGAGCTTTAGTCTCGTGCTCTAGTTTGAGTAATCTGCTCTCCACTGCCAAGTAAATAGTTCCACTATCAGGTAAACAGTGTAACACTTCCACAAGTGCACCTAATTGACTCTTGTAGTCTGGTTTGGAAACAGCCACGAATCATGTGTGATGTGAGAAGGAAACTTGTGAAGTACTACTGAGAAAAAAGCATTACGTGCAATGAAAGGCAAGTAAGTGAATTTTAACATTTTGGTGCACCAAATAATGAAATTCAGCTCAGGATTGGAAAGTTATATCCTCAAATGTTGTTTTTGTGTGCAGTTGTCATGTCAGATATTGTACTTGGATTAGAARGTCTGTGGGGACAGGGTGAGCTTTAGCTTCTGGCTCTGTACAACCCAGCTCAGCAGGGCCTCAGTCTGTGGCAGGTGTTATCTGATAAGCATGATAAAAGATAACAGCATGGTTGGACAGCATCAGGATGGAGCTGCAGGAGCTGTGTGTGCCGTGCAGCTGCAGGCACTGAGCTGCAGAGTGTGCTTTTTTTTGCCCTATCTGATGTAATCAGCTGAAGACAGGCTGATGCTGTCCAACCTGAAAGTCTTCCTGGGCCCCACGGTGGGTCTGCACTGCAAATCACAAAGATTATCAATGCCTTGTGCTGAGTTCTCTAATATGTATTGCATTCTGATTCAGATAAAGCTCTGGTAGCTGAAGATTTGGGCTGGTTAGAGTCAAAGGGTTGTTGCAAAGGAGTAAGAGGGAATCCTATGAAGCCCTGGTGGAAATTCGGAGCAAAGCCTTTTCAGCTCTCTGTTATCAGAGTGAGGTAGCCTTTAGAGTGAGCAGGAACATCGGGGTCAGATGCCCTATAAGAGCTCCTCTCTGTCCATCAGGCTGAATGGTGAGGCAGCTCTGGTATCCATCAGGGTGTGGGCTTGTTACCCTCCTGTCTGAGCTTCCTGTCGGAGGGAATTRCTGTCACTCCCATCTAACATCCTACAGTGAGCAAGGGCTCAGGAATTCCAGATCAGGATCCACTCACCTATAAAATGAGAAATGGTGGGGAAGGAAGAAAAAAGATCTGCCTCRAGTGAATCTGGAACAGGTATATGGAGAGATTGACCTTCTTCTGCAAACCTGGAAAAAGAGCACACAGACCACATAGAGCAGAGAAACAGTTTTGACACAATGTGTTGGAGGCAAGGTGATCATTTTGTCGCCTGTTACACATGTGAGTTTTTCATCATCGTCAACATTAACATGATAAGGGATTTATTATGGTGAGGCACAGAGGTGTTTGTAACACAGAACCAGTTTAATCACTGGTTTTCCATTTCAGTGGTATCAGCATCGATGTCTTAACCTACAACTGAGAGATAAATGAAAACAGATTAGCTGAAAGCAGGTGTGTTTTCACAGAGTGTGTGTTGGCTGTTCTGTGGAGCCCCCGAAGTTCACTTCATGTGATTTTCTATGGCAGCATCTCCTCCTTCCACAGACTCAGAGAACTCATTGGGCAAAARAATCAGTGAGGAATTTTCCAAATGGAAAAGCACATCATGCAGAGGGCATGGGAATGTTAGCCATGGTGCAGAGATGTTCCTCTCGAGCCAAAAGCATGGGAAATGTCTGCTTGTGTATGTGTCCTGGGGTGGGTAACTGGATTTATTACTTTTTTGGGGTCAYGATCTTGAGAAATTCCACTGGGTTTTCACCATGTGAAATTTCATTCCCGGCACAGACTGAGCAGAACTGGTTATGGACAGAGCAGGTAAGGAAGGAAGACCAAAAAAGTGTCAGTTGTGATTTAGCTTTCACACTGATGTGTTTGTAAGATTTTACTCAGAAAGCTATTTGGAGATAAAGGTTCWTCCTGAAGAATGGTAGTATGTGACAGACTTGAAATGCCAGGGGCTTCCAGTCCTCTTCTCACCCAATCCACCCATGGCATGGTCAGGAGCTGCAGGACTCTGTTGCTGCTGTGCTAATTCTGAAGTAGAGATTAGAAAAAAATAGCATGAAATGGCCCTGGAATCTGCAGTGAACAACAGAGGTTTCCTTGGAAGGCCACAGGCACTGGCTGCTCTGCGAACACTCTGTGCCACCTCATTTTTTCACATTACACAGACATTGGTGAGGGTAAGCCTTGAACTGTTTAACTTACAGTGTTACAGGCTCTTCAGAGATGTTGACCAGCGCTTTAATCTTCAGATCTGTCTGAATTTTTTCATCACTGGCCTGCTTGAAATTGCCCATATATAACTTCTCAGGCAGTATTTCTACAGGGTATGGCTCGAAGCAGTCTAGTTCCTGCCAGAAAGAAGCCACAGGCTCAGGTTAGAGTGTCTTTGCTCCCATTAGCTCGGTAACTTCTTAAACAAAAGTCAYGTGAAGAATTGAACAGGCACTTAGTCAGCAGCCCATGACACATTTTAGTGTAATGATTCATTAAATCACTTGAACTTTCTGCATATTGAAGTCTTTGCTAGTTTTATTGAGAATAATTAACAGTCTCACTGTTGTTATAGCATTACTTGAAGCAAATCCTTACAAAACAGGGGGTGGAATATATCCTGTCCATTGTCTGGAGGGGCTGCAGCATGACAGATTCATTTGATGTTCTCCCTGGTTACTGTTTGAAGGGCTAAATGAAATCATCTGCCACCTGCAGAGCTGCAGGTGCTCTGGAGTGGGCACAGCACAAACCTGCAGCTGCATCCGGTGTCAGCAGAGTGGAGGCTGAGAATGAAAACAGAAAAGTATCCAACAGTGCCTTGACATCCCTAAGGGATACTTGGATATTGCTCCAGCAGAACAAAGGAGCAGCTTAACCATTTAAGCAGCTTAAACTGAGAGGTGAGGAGATGCCCTGTGTCCAGCTGAGTCTGAGGGGGAAGCTCAGCAGTGAGCTGCCCTTCACAGAGCAGCACAAAGTGAATCGATTTTCTCTCCTGTACTGTAGCATCCACAGGTTAGCACAGTGTCATGGGTTGTTTCCTGGGAACCAGAAGGGAACAATGGCAACAAAATACACCTTGGAATAAGATGCCCTCTTGTCCAGCACCTTCTTAACTTGCCCTGACTCAGGTCCTGTCCTAGATGGGAAATAAAGGGTAATTGTTTCTCATAAACTAAACAGATTGATGTTTATACGTGAAACCAAGCAATTACGTTACCAATGTTTGAGTGGATGGCTGTTTTCTTCCTGGGCCTATTGAAACAAGGCACCTGCACTTGCTTTGTGACCCTTTCTGATGAAAAGCCATGGATCACAGTGCTTGGAAGGGATTGTACTTCTATTTGAAAAYATTTGCCATGTACTATGCCAGACAACCACGTGTGAGAGAGAAGCCTGCTTCTTTTCATCATTTGCTACTGTTTGCTCAGTTATCTGTACTCTCAACAGGCCAGTTTTGGGGTTATCAGGGAAACATTCCCAGGTTGTTTCCATGAGTTTCCTTTCACGCAATACAAGAGGGAAAAGTGTGGCTGTAAAAGAACCAGTGGTGAGACTCAGGACAAGGACAGTAACTCAAATTGCATTTAATTTCTTTGTCTAAAATTACTGTTTTACCAAGTCTGCAACACCATCTAACTTGAATTCATCAGCCATCATCAGTTATGTCCTCTACTTGCAAATCAGTCTCATCTCACCTGAGGCATCCACAGTGTCTTCTGGCTCTTCAGGAAATGGTAACAAGCTGAAAAAAGCTTGAACCCTCCCTTCAGGAGGAGCACGGGGTAGCGAGCGAACTGCTCGAAGTTTTTGGCGTGGAGGTAGGCATCTCCTTCCTCACTACCTAAAGAGACCAAAAAGCTGTTTGCCAGGGCAGGATCAGTGCCTTCATCTGCCTCCCTGACAACCACAGTAAATCMCTTTTCATTCTATCTAATGCTCTGKAGAAMACTTTGTTAAAAGGTTGACTTATTMTTTATCTGTTGCTGCAGGTCARTTACAGGGGGTGCTGCTTTTCACCTCTCATCCTGATCTTTTATTCCTCTCCTGGTTTCCTTTGTAGGTCTAGATATTTTTTCCTCTCCCCATTTTTCTTTGGGAAATGCTTGTAATAAGTTCCCATAATAGGCAAGTTTTACTAACTTAAATTTAATAATCTTAGTTTTATGGAAGCCCTTTTCTTTAGTCTGCTTTAGGCAAAGGGGGACAAAAAGGAAGTGTCTTAAATGAATTTTTCATGAATGTTTTAAATGCTCCCCTCAGTGAAGTAAATTATGTGAGATGGCTGCTCCTCCTCCTAAGGAATCCATCCTGCTTCCCTCTAGCTATGTCTGCTTTATATAGATCAGTACAATAAAAACCCAGTTCTGATTCTTCACACCTTCCCTTTACTGCCTCACCACTGAGCACTTAGGAACCTGCTTCCTTTATTCATTCCCCTTACACCCCCACTCTTTTTTCTTTCAAAAGTGATGTAAATCTTTACTAAAACTYTTGTAGCCTTTGTAAAGCTCAACCAAACATACAGAAGTGGTTCTGCCCACAGCAGAACTCCTTGCCAAAGGATGTGTGAAAGCCAAACATTTCCGTGGTTCACGGAAGACTGAACAAGGATATAGAAAAATTTGCAGTGCTTCACATTTCTTGGTGAACTCCATCAAATCACCATTTAAGGTAAATAAAAGATAAATATTTTAAAATATCATGACATGAAAACCTTTTGTGACCCTCRAAGAAGGAAGTACTCACTCTGGGAATACATGGAACCTGAGCTGCTGGCTTCAGCYTCTGAAGCAGTACTGCTACCTGAAAGGCAATCGTTGGACAAACAAATCTCAGGGAAATGTGACAAAAAACCAAAACCCATTCTTCACATACGACAAGGAGCTTAAGAGGATCATTCACAGATGGGGAAACCAGGACTGCCAGGATGCTTTGAAATAAAACCYGTATTTCTGAAGCCTGAGAACATACACAGCACAGTGAAAAAGCAGAGGCATAGTTTTTCACATAAAWCTGGGAATGTTTATATCTCTTCCAATAACCTCATCAAATTAAATGAAGGARGAATGAAGAATGGGAAGAATTTCTAACTGGCAGTGAGGTYTTGACTGACTTGGGTCACACGTACCTGTTTCTTTCTCCTCTTTCTCCTCTTTCTCCTCYTTCTCCTCCTTCTCCTCCTTCTCCTCTTTCTCCTCTTTCACCTCTTTCTCCTCCTTCTCCTCTTTCTCCTCTTTCACCTCTTTCTCCTCCTTCTCCTCTTTCTCCTCTTTCRCCTCTTTCTCCTCCTTCTCCTCTTTCTCCTCTTTCACCTCTTTCTCCTCCTTCTCCTCTTTCTCCTCCTCCTGATAGCCCAAAGAGCTGGTGTTATGGTCGTACACCACACAGTATCTGACGTAGACCAGCTTCTCTGGATTCGGAATCAGATACTCCCCCGTAGAACTCTGCCAAAATCACAGAGGAATTCCATCAGGAGCACGGCTGCACTCTTGTCTGGTGGCACCAACGCTCCTGACATCTTGCAAGTTACAACTCTCTAGCTACGTGTATGTTTGCACGTGTGGGTGGGCACGACATTGACAGCCAGGGTTAGAAGTCAGCAATGATGCAAACCACGCTGATTGCTCCATCAGCAGCAGCGGTGCCGATGCCAGCACTGTCCTTGTGAGTGGGGCAAGGCTACACTATGTGAGTTCTTGGGCAATTTTTTCCCTGATATTCAGCTYCCATGTGCCAATCCTTCGGGCTGCTGGAGCCACCTTTGCTTTGTGACAGAATACATCCCCCCAGCGGCAGCCGCGGGGCATGGCTGAGGCAGGGCAGGGGCTGGGACATTCCCCTTGGGTTTCTAAACTGTTTTGACTTCCTGCTAATTGCTAAATCCAATGGCAATCCCCTCACCCGTACAATCCTTTCGGCTGTAACGATGTGGCTGGCATTGAATTCATTCTGAGGACGGGCATCTGAAAAAAACAAACCAACCAAAACAGAGCAATTGGCTTTTAAAGGTAGAAACCTGTTTGTACTTTKGTCAGTGGAAATTCAGGCACTGGCATCACTCAGAGAAAGAGATTTAGGGATGTGGCACTTGGGAATGTGGTTTAGGGATGGTTATGGTGTTGCTGGGTCATCTGTTGGACTGGATGATCTCAAAGGTTTCTTCCAATCTTGATGATTCTGTGATTTGCTTTTTTTTAGAAACTGAGGCTTTCTGGCGTGGGTATAACAAACTCCAGGGCTGATGTGAGTCTGTGTGATAACCAATAGTATTTGTCCTGACCCAAGAGTGCTTCTGCAGCATTTCTGGCATCAATTCTGTGCTCTGCCCTGTGTCTGCTCTGCCCTCTGCCCAGCAGCTCTGCCTCTGCTGCTCCAGAGCTGGGAGAGGGGCACTGGAGAGACCCCAACCCCACTCCCGAACTGGCTGACTTCCTCACCAAAACATTTAATGATGTTGCAATACCGGGCACTGTTTTGGGGGATATTGACACTATGCAAGATGCAAGTGGTTGTCCAGAATCTTTGTGTAATGGTTGAGAAATCTTGTCCAGCTCTGAAACCTCTGGAGGCAGCAGGGAATGTGTATCCATGGTAATAATCACAGCAGGTAGAGCTGGGCATGAGGAAAGCYGAAGCAGCACCAGATCATAGCACCTGAAATGGGATGGGAGGAAGGTCCCAAGTGCAAGGCCCCAGAAATGACAAGTGATGTGTGTGCTTTTCCTCACAAACCCCATTGGCTCAGGATATCTGCCCGGGCTGAGCACAGTGCCTGGCTGAATGCAGGGGCAGGCAAAGGCAAGACAGAGGCAGGCAGGGGCAGGCAGGGGCAGGGACACGGAGGGACAGGGATAGCAGGAGCAAGCAGGGGCAGGTACAGGCCGGGGGAGACAGCAGCAGGAAGGATGAGGCAGGGGCAAGAACACGAACTGGGGCAGGCAGAGACAGACAGGGGCAGAAGAAACAGGCAAAGAAAGCAGCAGGCCGGGCAGCGGAAGGGACAGGAACCGGCAGGACAGGCCTGTACCGCGGCCTCACCCAGCAGGCACAGGTAATTGGGCTCCGACAGCCGGGACCTCCACCGGTACTGGTTGATGATGTTGTAGAGGTCCCGGGGCTCGCAGAGCATCACCCCCGCCATCCCCCATCCGCTCGGCTGTCGCCGACTATCGCGACACCCCGCACCCCGCGACGCCCGCCGGTCTCCAAGGTTACCTCAGACCAGATCTCGCGAGATTTCCCCCCCTTCTCCGTTCCCGTCGCGGGCGGCAGTCTCGCGAGAGGCGCGGGCGGGGCCGCGCAGGCGCCGTGCTGGCCGTGGAGGTCGTTGGAGTCACCGATCGTCCCGGAGCCGCCGCTGTCGCCCCGCCGTGCCCGCCATGCTGTCCCGCCTCAGCACCGCCACCGCCACCGCCCTGCGCCGCGGCATCGCCACCTCCGCACAGGTACCCGCCCACACCGCCGCCACGCGGACAGCGCCCCCGGGGCTCGGGGTGAAGCTCTGCGCTTCCTCCTTGGTTCTGCGGTTGTTGCGGGGCTCGGGGGGGAGCCCGGGGAGAAGCCTCGGTGCGGCTCCGTGAGGGGGCTGTGGAGCACAGGGTCTGCCCGGTGAAGGGGKGCAAAGAGGGGATGCAGGCCCGGTTGTTCTCAGTTTGGGGCCTGTAGGGCTGGGCTTGGACACAGTTMCTCCTGCGGGGCTGCAGGGCTCGAGGGGAGCTCAGGCTCTCCATGAGGGACTGTGAGGCCGGAGCCCCGGTGCTTCTTAGCGAGGGTCTGTGGAACCCAGACCCTCCTCGATGTGGGGCTGCGGGGCTCGAGTGGAACCCAGGCCCCACCTCCAAGAGCGGCTTCGGGTTTCGGGTGGAGCCCGGGGAGGGCCCCATACCCTCGGTGGGGGGCTGCGGCGCCGGGAAGGAGCCCAATACCTCAATGAGGGGGCTGTGGAGCCCGGTGAGGGGCTACAGGGCTCGGGTGCGGCCCAGACCCTGCTCGAGAGGGGCTGGGAGTGTGTGCCGGTGCCGGTGCAGGAGCGGAGGGGGCGCGGGGAGGTTGTGGATCGTGGCTGGGGGGCTCAGTGCTGGGTGTGCCGGACTGTGCCCGGTGACTCCTCCGGGCTGGGGCCGGGGCCGTGCGCGTCTCGGCCCGGCAGCTCCCGCTCCGCTCCAGGCAGGCTGCGTGCTAATCCTGTATGAATTCCTCTCTGATGCTGTGMGGAGGGTGATGGGTTTGCTGCTTCCTCCCTCTAGTGCAAATATGCTCCTGCGTTCAGAAAGTGTTAAGAACTAAAGCTGGTGTTTGKGGTTTAGTAGTAATCCTTCATGTGCCGAAATCCACTGTGCTGGCTCCAAACCATTGCAGCTGTGGCTGCACGGATAGAGACCGACCTCTATCCAACATTAATATCGCGGTGGGATGTAAGAGTGATTATTGCAGCTATAAAGATGTGCTGTCCAGGAGAGCCTTGTCTAAGTCTCTTMATGGGACCTGTATTTATTAGCAGTGAGGTTTTGACCTCATGGTATCAGCTCAGTCACAAATGAGGCTCAGCAGTGACTCATACCAGACTTTGCTTCCCCTTAAAGGGGGAAGTAAATTTATATATGCAAAATTGTATTTGTTACAGTAGAAGAAAACTGGGCTGAGGTTAGTCTGGTCCAGTTCTTGGGTAGATTATTTCCTATCATAGCACAGTAATTAAGTTGTTCATGAAGGTATGTGGAGCTGTTATGGCTTTATCTGGTAAGGCTGTGATAAAGAATGGCTTTCTCAGCAGTAATTGTTTGTTAAATCTCCACAGGAGCCTAGTTTTCCATCACTTTGGCAGAGTGTTGCACTTAAGGGTTTTTCTGGCCCTTGGAAGTAGCTTTCCTCYTGTGTAGCAGCACTTTGCAAACAGGCATTTGTGAGAGAAATTGCATCCTGCCAGTACTTGAGTGAGGATAAAACTGATTTACAGGACAACCAAGCAGAGTTGATTTTACTTGATTCTCAACCACATGATCAAAGCTGAAAATTGTGGTCACTTAAGGTTCCTCARCCTTGAGGCAGTTGTGGGTACCATTTTGAATTTATTTCAAGTATAAACATTTTCTTCACATATATGCAACCGTTATTACATTTGTTGCAGTCCATTAAATGTATTCATTTACCAAATGGAAGGCATATTTTTTTGTTACTGGCAGTGTAAATTAGAAAAGCTACAAACCAGATTTGCCCTAAATCAGACCTGGGCCCACAGGGTGGCAGGTATTAGTCTCAGGTAGATATTTCCCACAGGAGAAAGGTGATYCTTTAGGTTTCTTTGCCCTGGCTTTGCTTCCCTTTTGAGCTTCAGATCACAAGTAACAATTTTCTCCAATTTGTCCTACCAATAAAGCTCTAGAATCTCTGGGAGGCTGCTGTGAGGATCATTTTTTGTAGGCTTAAACTATCAAGTTTGCACAGTGCTTGGTAAAAAATTGAGAAATAGAACTAAAAGTAAAGAAAGAGTGGTGAAATCCCCAAGGTCACTGCTGGGGTAGCTGCCAGAACACCTCTCCAACGTATTTGTTGTCTCTTTTGTACAGAAAAATGCCAAGGTGGCAGTGCTGGGGGCCTCGGGGGGCATTGGGCAGCCSCTGTCCCTGCTCCTGAAGAACAGCCCTCTGGTGAGCAAGCTCAGCCTCTACGACATCGCTCACACTCCAGGCGTGGCTGCTGACCTCAGCCACATCGAGACCAGAGCCAGTGTCAAAGGTACTGTGGGAATGGCCTGTGTTCCAAAGGGATCCTCCCAAAGGGGTGGCTGTGACCCTGAATGCCCATTGCTTGTGGGGGGAGTCTTCACCCACTGATCCTCAAGCCCAGTATCACTTTAAGTAGCTTTTTCCTCAAGCAGCGAATGATTAATTAAGTTTAGCTGATTAGATTGATGTGTATGGAGATGGAAATGGGCTGTGGTTGTGCTGTTGAAGGGGAGTTTGTGATACTTGAGAGGAAACATTCAGTGAAATTATCTCAAGAGTGTTGAATTTAAAAGTTTGACTAGAAACAGATTTAATAACCCCCGAGTGTCCACATGAATCCAAGTGCTTCTTTTCTGCTAGATTCTGATGAAATCAAAACTTAATCTGCTCATCTTCCTTTTATCTGGAGATCACCAAAGGGTGACATTTTACTTGAATGTGCCTGTCTGCAATTCTTTGGGGGCACTGACTCTAGTGCCAAGGTTTTTGGAGAGTCAATACACATAGCAAGAGGAATTGGGAGTTTTGAAAACAGGTGAATGTGAGATTCTCACCACTYTCATTGTGTGAATTTTGAAACAAAGATAAAACATCAGATAAGACCCATCTATAACTGTGTTTCATTGCTTTTCAGTATTAGGTCTGAATTGAAGGTTAAATTAAAAAAAGGACTTGGATGCCTCTGGGCATGATTTTGTACTTCAAAGTGTCAGCTATTTAATAACTGTCAAAAACATAATGCCTGRCTGTCTTGCATCTCAGGCTTCATGGGACCTGAGCAATTGCCAGAATGTCTGAAGGGCTGTGATGTTGTTGTTATTCCGGCGGGAGTCCCTAGAAAACCAGGTAAGTTCTCTTTGTTGGAATGCCTCAGGGCTGCTTTGAAGTGGATYTTTGCAGTTCTGCTACTGAAATAGACTGTGTCTGTTGGGGTGTAAGTGGTCTGTTAATGCCCCGACCCRGAGCTCTTTGTGSTATCAGGCAGCTCMCTCAGCCTCTCTCTTGGACTGTCCYTTGTGAGATGGGCTGAATTGATTTCTGGAGTTCCTACTTGGGGCTGAGCTGCAAAAACTTTTCATTCAAGTGATTCTAAATCTCCCTTAGTGTTTCTTGTCCCAGAGCAATGCTCAAGGAATAAAAACTTGTTCTTTGTTTCATTTCTCAGCAGAACAGAATCAACCCATTTGTTTTGCATCAATTTTACAACAACTTTCTTGGGGCATCTCCAGACAAATGCTGTTAAGTCTTCCTAGAATGTCTCTGATGCCCTCCATTTCCACTCTGTTTTTTAGTATCCTRTTAGGAACATAACAAAATTCTAGACTTTAATGCCTAGCTCTTCCTAAATTTTAATTTTTCATGGTTAAAGTAGTTCCTGCACTAGCTGTGAGGGCTGGCACTTACACAGCCAGCAATATTTTGCACGCAGCAGTTGGCATTTAAATTGCAGTTGTGGAAGTGACTTAAAAGAAGGAGGAGAATTCATATTGAGAGCAGTTGTGCTGCTCTGAGCACCACTGGTGTGGGTTGTGTGGTCACATTGTATTTCAGGCAGCCTCAGTGAAATGAGTTCTGACCRTGGACAGTTGGGGTGGTTGTTCTGWAAAGGGYTGATCTCTTTATTRGTGAGAGGARTTACCTTTGGAGCCTGATCATTGCTGCAGCTGCAGAATTTGTTCTTRGTCTGTGAAACCAGAAGCAGAGGTGTGTCCAGAGCAGAATATGGGGTTTTGATGGAGTTTTCTGTCTTTAAAGGTAATTGTGGGTAACTTAAAATGCTGCCCCGACTGTGTTTTAGGTATGACCCGTGATGACCTGTTCAACACCAATGCCAGCATTGTTGCCTCTTTGACATCTGCCTGTGCAAAGCACTGTCCAGAAGCCATGATCTGTATTATTTCTAACCCAGTAAGTGTTTTCTGGAGACCTTGGAATGTARAGGAAAGAAAAACCCAAAATCCAGACAAAGAATATTAGAGTAATCCAAATTCCTACTAATTTTAACCAGTATCTTTAAAGTCTTTAAAAATTGYAGGAAAGCACTAAAAGCCTGGTTCTACTAACCCATTTTTCTTAGCTATATTTAATTCAGAGGAAACTTGGATATAAAAGTRTAATAATAAAGTGCTTGCTTAATACAAGTCTGCATGACTGGTTACAATGTATTAGCTGGGATAAAAGCCTTGGCTCACTAAGGGAGGAGCCTTTGTAATGGGAATGAACAAATTTATTGTCTTAATGGTTATTTAAAATTAATGATTTTTATTCTAGCCTGACTGTAAATTGCTCTTCAATTTAGGCATTTAAGTAATTGGCTCCACTTGATTCCAAATTGGAWGTATAATTTGGGTTGTTAATTGGCCTGTTAAGTTCATGCATTGGCTTTGTTATTAAACTGCTTTTAATCAGTGCTTGCCTCTTCTTGCTTGTAGGTAAATTCAACCATCCCGATAACTTCAGAAGTCTTCAAGAAG